ACGAGGAGTTGGAGTTGCTGCACAGTGGAGACAAGCGCTTGAGGAAGATAATGAGCTTGTGAAGTTGATGGGGAAGGCAGACAGCAAGGATACAGAGGTGACAGAGCTGCAACCAGATTTTGAGGCTCCTACATTTAATGCAGGCTGGTTCCCATACCCAAACAAGACAGTAAGTTTGTCTGGCACAACTTAAAATTAATTCTCTGACTTATCTTGTCACAGATGATGCTGCTTGATACCTTGGACAATCTTTCACGAATAGCTGTGTCTGGATCATTAATGTGTGTCTTTCTATGGATTCTTCGGAAGACAGGAGCACATGATGTTTCATCATTAGATGGCCTCTGAAAGTTGCAAAAGAAGCTCCATGCACAAAGTGGAATTCAAACAACACGATATCAATCACCACGAGGGAATATTTTCTATTATAATGATTCATGCACCATAATGCCCAGCATGTCCTCAACTCCTGCACACAGGTGCCTTGGTGTATGAACATTGGGTTTCATGTCACTTACACAAAATCCAAGAGGATTTTCTAGAGTTGTATTCAAACCATGCAGTACAGGAAGACATACAAACACAACTGCAGAGATGGCTCTTCTAGTGATGCAACTAAAGAAACCCAGATTCTGCAAATTTTACATATTGATGGCATGCAGAACTCTTTCAAATTCTCTCCTTGCCCTTCAGGCAAGAGTGCATGTCCATCTTGTAGCACAATTAAACTTCAGCCTAGTATGGTTGCATTCACTGTAGCTATCTGAATCCAGTGAGGTTCTCCTGCAATCAGAAAAAATTTTCATAATATCACAAGTACTGCAAGTCATAATTTTTACCAGCAGAACATGCATTGAATATGAGAAAAGTCTCAGTGTGCAGATTTGACTGCATATTAATGTTATCATGGTTGTGCACCTCACCTGAAACTATACATAGGCAGCCTTTTTGTTGTGTTTAGACAGCATACAGAGCACTCAGTTACAGACACTAATTTTTATTAAAACATGCCACAGAGTGTGTAGTTTGAGTAACCGTGATGCAGTGCCCAACCTTAGGTATGTGCTTACATTATAAATACCATTTGGGGCAGGTTGCCTGCCGCATTGAGTAGGCACATAATGCGGTGATGAGATTGTAGTTCCATTGCAAGCTGAAAAGGTGGAGTACGAGCAGAATCAAGTCTGCGTGGGGTCTGAGATGCAATGAAGGAGAAGAGTCTATTCCAGAAGTATGAGGTGGGTAGCCCAAAAGCATAGCTAGGAAAATCTCTGTAGTCGCAATAATCACTGGAAACATGTCAGAGTAAAATTGCACTGCCCTAAGGAGAACGCTGAAGTGCAAAAATGCAAGACTGCCCAGAAAACGCACAAAATGCAAGACTGCCAAAAGATGCACTAACTGGATAGGATGGGAATGTGAATGAGGTTTTTGCCAGCATACCTTCTGGGATGGTGGTGTTCTACCCCGACCTCTTCCCCTGCCATCATACTTAACTGGTTCTGACCTTTCCTGCCCTCCCAATACTGCCCGCCTTTGCTTAACAAACGCTCCACTGAATCACTGCCCATTACGCTGTATCTCGCAATCCTGTTCACTCACGCTCCTACTCATTCCGAGAGATCCTCCATCACCGAACCCGCCTGAGCACCTAATAAGGACTTGCCCATCTCGGAGGCATCTCCCATCCTAAACTTAATCTCCCATCCATGGACGCCAGCATCATCCTTCGCAAATACACCCTCGCGGAAGCTCTTCTTCACATTGAGATCTTTACCGAGCCCTTCGATCCGATCCTGTGGAAAGCATGGGCAGTCCAGATGCACGTCCTGCTGGTGAGGCTCCCATGAGCATAAGATTCTTCACCGTCCAACCCTCACACGTCCCTCAGGTCTTTATGATCCAAGCCCAGTCTGAAGCGGCCAGCATGGGGATTATCCTACCCCTTCCGCGCGATATCCCTGTTCTGGCCCAAGTGGAAATACACCTGGCAACAGCTCGCACTATAGAAGGCGGTTGTCAGATGATACCTCAGATTGCAGATCACCTTCCTGCAGTCATTCCTCGTGGTTTGACTGCCCGCGTTCTGTATAATGACTCCGCTTTCTGCAAGGACTTTGATTTAGGCCACCCGCTGGATGGTCTCCCTGACATTGATGCACAGTCATCCTGTCCCTATTTTCCTGGAATTGTGTTCCTCAGCTTTTATCACCATCAGGAACCTTGCACCTTCGGGTTGAGACATTGCACAATGCGACCCGCGAACTGTACGATATCATGCGCGGAATCACTGGTAGACACGAGCTGGTGGATGGTACTTTGAGATGGTTGTGGATCGTAGTCGAGGAATTGGAAGTAGCATTTGGGCTCGTAGCATGCCCTCCTCCGATAACCAGCTTCCAGTTGCTGTTGGACTAGGGTCTGTTGTGTAGCACCCTGTGGTATCTCCGAAATGTGAGACCACTTCATGGATGTGATTCCCACCTCAGCGCACTATGCGTCCCTTCAGCAGGGCCACCTGCACCGGTAGGTTAGGTTTTTCAAACTCCACTAGGACTTAACCCCCAGTCAAAGTTCGTTATTGCAGGGTCGAACGAGATTGAATGAGCTCGTTGCTTAGAGTAGCTTCGACCGTGTGAGAAACTTGGACTATATGAAATCTGGGACAAAGCCAGGCGAACCAGGTCGAGTCTGATCAAAGGTCGAAAAGCCAAGAACACAGCAGAATGAGCCGGATTGAATGACATTGTGTACTTGTACATGGATCTTGCCCTGCTTAAAATTGCTCCATTCATGCTCGATTTCATTTGTTCTATAGAACATACGAAATATATTTAGATTTACATACAAAGTATGCTATGTCACTACACGAAAAGCTGCAGAATACATGACATCAGTCTGTTACCTGCAGAGTGCATGGCCTCGCATCGCTGGAGGAATGTGTTTCAGCCTAAAAAGAAAGTGAAATGATTAGCAGACACATGTGAATGTTACGTGAAATTACACTACAGATATGCTCAGGACCTTGGGATGAAGGCATTCAAGTCCCAACCTGTGTACAATGAAATGCAGGTCAGTGCCGCCTGCTGGTAAACAACATGTCACATAACGTACTGCGATGATCCCCACATACCAGCGCCGGCGACCCAAGTGAGCACGATGCGAGAACGTAGTCTGGGGTATTGGGGGCTAGAGTGCTGCGACAGAAGCACAGCTGGTGGTGATGGGGATGGGAGATGAGAGATGGTGAGATGGGGAAAGTATAAGTTGTGGGGCACATCGTACAAACCTTATATAGGGGAAGTACTGTCTGTCAAAAGCCTGTGTCAGCAAAACCTCAGCATCGCAAATTCTTAGTTGGGCGAAGGGCAACAAGAGGGTGGCAGGAAGTCAGTTCACTACCACAACTCCCAAAACTAAAATAAGGGTCCCCAGGGTACACCTCCCTCCCTCCTTCCTTTCAAAAGTGGAAGGTCTTATCCGTTTTTGGTATGTTAAGTGCTCAATAATGATGCACCATAGTGTCTTTTGCAAAAAATGTCACTGCCTCTCTCACAGGCACATACATATTTTCAATAAACATAGTGCACTGGAGATTTGGTCTTTGAGATGAGCTCAATGGTGGAATTGTGACAAGGTAAGCCTGTCAGGCACTGGTTTTGTGGTTGCAGCTCATATGAGGCCAGAGGATATCATGGCCTTTATAAAATATGACATCTAAGTTAGTGGAGCCATGGAAGTATCATTTTGGACATCTGGGACTATCTACGGCCATAAATATATGCATGTGCATGAACCCAAGTAAGGTCCTCGAAAGTACCCCTCCCTTAGTCTCCCCAGGCAGAGTAGACACTCTGCTTCAACCTTCATGCCTCAGGATATCCGTGTCTGACGTCTGCTATCACTAAGGAGGCCCTTATCGGTAGATCAGATATTCAACTCTGCTAGATGCTGTGAACATCACGTGTGCATCCAAACACGAACAAATGTGCGAGTCAATGTGTTGCGTCATGTTGCAGGCCTAAGGATCTAAATTAACAGATGGTATTCGAGCGATTAATGAGCTATAGAACGATGTGCTACACCTCTATCCCAGACATTGCAACATAATTATCCTCCGGATTCCCCTTCTCTGTTTGAGTTCGCGGCACAGTGAATAGAATTTTGAGGAACTCGCCAAGGGTCCATCCAGATTCTTGGATGGCAAACATAACACGATCCATGGAGGCCGTGCGAGAAGCTTCCCATTTATCTTCATCAGAAAGGAAAACTGAAGGGGAGCCAGCCATGGTGGAGAACGCCTACAGTCTTATACCGGTCCTTCGGCCACCCAAATCTTTCTCGCCATTGTATGGTACATGCATACACTTTCTCGTAGATTGGCAAGCACACAGACCTCAATACATACTCCTAATATAAGATCACATGTATTTACAACCCAATCGCCGGAGTGAAATATCAAATTGCGGTGGATCAGTATAAAAAATCGTTATCAGTGCTTTCCTCACTCCTCCAGCCACGTCACATCACGTTGATGAATTTCCTGATACAGATGAGATTATGGGCGCTAATTTCCATATCAGGATATATGTGATGTGACATCTCGCCGATAAGAGCTCTGAATGCTCACTCCCCAGGTCAAAGTCTCCTTCTCATCCTGAATGGCAGTGAATGGCTTCAGAAACATTGCCAAAGCATTCCAGTGTGCATAACCATGTCTGAAATTAAAATTTTCGGACTTCTGCTGTGAACTGAACAACGTACAAGCACTTTTTTACAAATTACACTCAAAATCGGTGTCTCCAAACAGATCCAGAGGCCATACAATCTCTACAACATTGGACAGCATAGCTCTAGTATATTCAGATATGATTAAAAAAAGTTCAAGGTGAAAAGGTGGCCAGGAAGCCAGAAAATGTGGGGTGGCCCAAGGACCCATGGTGGCCGAAGGACCGGTATAAGACTGTCCCTGGGTTGTGGTGGCCACCGCGCTTGGCGCGATGATGCACGCCCAGTACCGTCCCACGCGCAGGCCGGTACCCCCGTTACGCGCCGGTGGTGACCTCGGCACCCCGTGTACCGGTGGGGCGCCCCGTATGGCAGCAGTTGCCCCGTCGGGCAACAGTTTCCCGTTCTCGAGATGGATGAGTGCGCGCCCTCCCCCCCCACTCCCGCACGCGCCGTCCTCCCCCACTGCCGCATGCGCCATCCTCCCCGCTCTCACTCTGCCGTGTCATGGGCGCGATGGTCATGCTGATCTGCCGCCCTCGCGCTGAACGTCTCTTGCGCGTCGAGCTTTCCTCCTCCTCTCTCGGCCCATTCGTTCGTGCGACCTCCTTGCCTTCACGCACTGGCGGTCATCGCCGATCTTGACGAGATCTGCACACAGGCAACCCTCGGACGTCGTGCTGTCTACTGTCGCGGGCACGTCGCACTTTGCTGCGTCCTCGCGCGGAAAATTTACTGCATCCTCACGCCGAAAACATCTCTCTTGCGTGTCTCGCGGTCTCACATGCACCCCTCCCGCTCTGCCTGTGGCCCATCGAGCTTGTCCCCCCCCCCTTCCTCTCAGCCCCACTCATTTGGCCAGCAGTCATTGTCGATCTCGACGAGATCTGCACACAGACAACTTCGGACATGCGTCCGAGTGCAGCACAAGTAAGTGGAGGAGTGTGCCTCGAGACAAGGGGCCAAGGGTGCATGCAAACGCGAGTCGCACTGGATGCATGTGAGGATCCTCATCCCGACGTTTCACCTTTGACACCTTTGACAGGATCGAGCCGAAATTGCTGCTCACGGGTGCGTCACGCCATGCGCTCTCTCGTGTGCTCAGCGCTGATGTACACAGCACCTCACCTGCCACCTCCCCCTCTCATGAGCCCACCACGTCCACCCGCCCGTCCACTCTCCCTCACACCGGTTGATCTCGAGCTCGAATGGCATCTGCAGCAACTCCCAGCCAACGGCGATCTTGGCTGCGTACCTCGCTCGCGTTCATCTGACGTCTGCCCCCATTGGCCTCGCACTCGACGTGCCACTGAACAGCCGCCGTCTGCGACTCCGGGCAATACCAATCTCTCGTGAGGGGGGATTGAGCTGAAAGTAATGCAGGCCACCTCGAGTCTCGCGCACCCGCTGCCTTCTCGCGTGCCACCTTCACCACCTGGTTTCACGCGCACCTGGCTTTGGGACCAGCGTGCGCGGTGACAGCATGATGCGGGCGCGCGGGGACATCTCATGGTGTGGCATGCAGGGTTGGAGGGGACTGCACGCACTCGTGGTCAGGTTGCCTGCAGGCTGTGCTCGTGGCATGCCTCTGGTCTCTCTCATTGCCTGCATGGCCCACCACTTTGCTTTGTATCTATTTAAAAACCAATATAGCTCATTTTACTACACATGGGATCTGCCAGAAACATGAGTGAGCAGCAAAATGAGGGCTTACCGCAGACACAGCCTGCCACTGAAGAGCTCTGACAGCAAACAATTAAGACTCATTTCGGGTTGGGGCAGGTACTATATATACAGTTACTACAGTTACTACGCGAGACACGATCCGACTTTTACTGGCAAGATACCGCTCATGGCCGTTCGATTCAGATGTCACAGGTACGACATGGCGGCAGACACCACCTCGTCCCTTCCGGCCCTGCCGTCCTTCATGAGGTAGTCTGCGAAGCTGCGCACCTTGTACCTCGGCTTGTATTTCTCTTTGAGGAACAGCAGCGCGAGGTTGACGGACCACCGGGGCTTCTTCATGAGACCGTTGATCAGGTCGACGATCTTCTTCTGGCGTCCTCCTTCCGTCTTCAGGCCCGTGTTGTTGTGGCACCAGCGATTCTCCCACTTCTCCGTCAATTCGTGCACCGAGATGTGCCCATTCAGTCCCACAATCCATTCTGTCCACACGTCCGAGATGGTGACCACGGGTTGATAGCGGTAGTGGGGCACGAGCTCGCCGTGCATCCAGATCCAGGGCTCATGCCGGCCGAAGACCTCTTGTCCGTAGAGCTGCACCAACGCGACCCGCTTCACCACCTGTGGGTCCGCGCTCTCGTTCGGTGCATGGAGGGCCCCACCCAAAGGCTGCAATGAGGCGGTGAGCACATGCGCCGAACTGGATGCCGCTGCACTGTGGCTCGGCTGTGCGTCGACCCGAAATGCGATGCCATCGCTTGGCAACTGGGATGCCTCCTCGACTGGGCCAGTTCTGACGTCCAGAGGCAGGCCGGCCAAGTTGATGGTGATGTTCGGAACTGGCGCCGGCGCCATTGGTGGGACCAGTGGGAAATTAATTGGCTGCACAACGGCTGTCATGCTTGTGGCCTGGAGTTCTGATGGTCCACGTGTCAGAGTCAGACAGCAGTCTCGCAAGAGAGAGGGAAGAGCAGAGAGGGGATGCTGCACACCTTGTTTTTGCCTGCCACGACACGACGATCGCGATTTTGAGTTGACAAAGGACTCGAGGAGGCCCTCCATCTTCAACATGCAGTCTGACATGTCTGCGAGGCTGCGGCTGTTCTCATCGTATTGTCGCTGTTGCTCCAGCAGCACGGTGGTTGTTGCACCGCGAAGACTGCCGACCAGGTGCTCCGGCAGGTTGCGGTAAGCATGCCGGGCATGCTCTTCCACCTCCCTGAGCATTGGCAAGGCGGCGGTGGCAAACGAGTGAACAGCGGCGCATGGGGATACATTGAGCACAGAATGGCCGCATCTTGCAGGAGAACACGCCGAAACCAGATGAGGACCCTGAGAAACTGGTGCAGGGACAGATCCTGTGCTCGTGTGTCAGCTCGCGCACGCTCCTCGAGCGCTGCCTGCTCCCATTCGACCCATGGGAAGAGCTGCGACAGGACCTCCTGAGGGGGCTCTTCACAATGTTGTGCACATTAGTGACATCAGAATTGCAGGGCAGGAATCGATGTGTGCCTACCTAGCATGTCACGTGGGAGTGAGTACATCTCTGGTTTCCGGCCATTGAAGTTCGCGGCCCCGAGCAACGCATCCACGGGGAAGGTGCGCTCGTAGCATTGGCGAAACGCGCCGTTTTCTTTCCAGCCCCCCATGGCCTTTGTGCCACTTTCGGTCACGCCGTATGCCTGAGCACTTTGTGCTGCATAGCTGCGACCAGCATGGGTGACCTTCGCGATCGCGATGTTGTTCTTCATGTGCATGAGCTTCACGCGGTCTCGGTGATCTGTGGTGGCACAACGGTCAGTTCACCGCGAACTCCAAGCCGAGGCAGGAAGGAGAGCTCACTGTCATAGTTCATCGGTGCAGACGGCTCTTTGGTGAAGAAGACATGACACTCATACCAATCTCGCCGGCCAAATTCCCCGTAGGTGCATTGATGTCAGTTATGAAAGATAACCTTTTTCATCAATAAGTAGCAAATTTTCATGAGAATTGCTACCTTTAAGTAGACTTATTTGTAGGTGCATAGATTAACTCAGGATAATCTTTCAGATAATCTTAGGATAATCTTAATATAATCTTCCGAATAATCTTTGGATAATTTGAAGATTAGCAATAAAATACAATTTTAACTTTGACACCAGCCAGGATTGAACTCTGGACCTCAGGTTGATTTTATAGAATATAATTCTAAGTGACACTTTAGACCACTTGACCATTAGGCCATACATCACAACTATCTTCTCTTAAATTAGACATCTTTTTTTTGGAAAAGACTTAGCCAAATTCTGTCTATTAGAAGAGAGTAAGTAAAAGACACTTGACTTTTATCATAGATAGACAACACTTATAGACAAATAGTACTCTGCATCTTATCATAGTCTTGTCCTACAGCTTACAGTTTTTGTAAACTATCATGCAGTACTATAGAGTATCCTAATGTAGCCATCTATAATACATAACAAGTTATTGAGAGACAGTATTTTATTTGTTCATTTTAGGCTTATACTCTAGAGTCTATTATATTATAGACTGAGCACATATATATACAAGATTTCTATAGCTATCTTCCAATTGTATAGCAAAGTTCTGTTTTACTGAAGTAACTGTAGAAACTTATATTCTATTAATTACATATTATACTACATTATATGAAGGCTGCAAGCATTAGAAAAGACTATAAGACTCAGAGTAATGTTTGTTTATAAGTCTTGTCTTTTACTTACTCTCTTCTAATAAACAGAATTTGGCTAAGTCTTTTCCAAAAAAAAGATGTCTAATTTAAGAGAAGATAGTTGTGATGTATGGCCTAATGGTCAAGTGGTCTAAAGTGTCACTTGGAATTATATTCTATAAAATCAACCTGAGGTCCAGAGTTCAATCCTGGCTGGTGTCAAAGTTAAAATTGTATTTTATTGCTAATCTTCAGATTATCCAAAGATTATCCAAAGATTATCCAAAGATTATTCGGAAGATTATATTAAGATTATCCTAAGATTATCTGAAAGATTATCCTGAGTTAATCTATGCACCTACAAATAAGTCTACTTAAAAGTAGCAATTCTCATGAAAATTTGCTACTTATTGATGGAAAAGATTATCTTTCATAACTGACAAAGATGGTAGGTGATGTCCTTCAAGTCGGGAGCAAACCCTGAGCGGGAGCGAGCACATGGAAGACGATGAAGAACAGCATGGCGAGTGCGCCAACCGGACACACCCGCACGTTGCGGTGTCGTATTGTTCCGTGCTCATCCAGCCGGCCTTCCTGGTTGTGCTTTGCATTGTCAGCGAGGGCTGCGAGGACCTGAGGGACATACCATGTCAGTTGTTGTCGTCATTGAGCGCTCTTCAGGTCAGCACACCACATACTGGCACTCTGTAACTGGGCTGGACATCCTCCATCGGGATCGAGGACATGAAGAGATCCGACCATTGCAGGATGCGTGAGCTGTTGCCACAAAATGCGGTGGTGGCTGACAGCAGCAACATTGCACGGTCGCGGATGCCGACGAACACATATTGGACGCCCAAAAAGTCCGTGAGACACCAGCGGGAGCATCGCACAAGCTCCTCCTGCGTGTAGGTGTCTGTGGTGAGAGGGATGATGTTTCAGTGTGCAAAATGATGAGGAGGTGAAGGCGGGACCGCACTCACCCGCCGAACTCCCCACAGCCTTCAGGGCTTGTGCCTTCTCGATCCTCTTTGGTTCGTTGTGCTTTGACAATGTTTCTATGTTGCGAATGCGAAGGTCCGATCGGAGTGTCATCTGGGCATCCGGATCGTTCTTGTATAGGTACGCATTGTTGCAGCGCCAGTTCTCGAGCGCACTGATCACCTGCGCGATGTGAGACTTGCCGACGGTGGAGCCAGCAATCACCTCGGTGCCTCCACGTCTGCGCTGCACAAAAAAAAGAAGCGAGGTCAGCGAGATGCATCGAGAGCTCGATATTCGGTCTCACGCACCTTCTCGCGAGTGAGCTCATGGTCCAGGAAGAAGGAGGCCTTGAGCGCGGTAACGGGAAATGTGGGCATGGGTGGCAGGTTGGGTTGCTGTTCGCAATGTGCCATGTCGAACTCGGCCCACCATGCGGCGTAGTTTTCCACGTGCCGACTATAGCTGCGGCCTGTCTGCTTGTCATCCTGGTCGACCCGGACCCTCTTCACGCGCGCCGCGTGCGACTCCGCCTCGAGCAGGCTGAGCGCGTGGTGCACGTCGAGCGGCCCATTCAGCGGCACCGATATCGAGACGGCGGGAGGGAGCATATTTGTGCAAGGGACTTGAGGTGGGGTGAGGGTGGAGCACTCACGCTGGGAGCTTCCTGAAGGCTCAGCCGACACATGGCGGCTCATCACGAGCAGCTTTGGGTCATTGAGCAGCGAGGAAGCGGGGGCCGGTTCGGGCGCGGTGTAGTGCACGAACGTCGACTGTACAAGCCTGCTGGTGGTGGAGAGCGGCACCGAGCACAAGTCGCGACGCTCGCCGTTAATGTTGCCAACATTGATCACTGTCGAGGCGCTCGGCTGGTCTGCGCTCCTGCCGCCCTCGGCACTGTCGAACATTCGCTTCTGAGGGATGGTGGCAGCGGTGGTAGCGGGTGCGCACGAGACGATCCGCATGGGCTGCGGGGCATTTTTGCGCCCCATACCGATTGCGCGCGGACCCGTCCGCGTCCTCGGTGGGGGGCTGGGAGGATGTTCTGTGCTGTGCGGGACGGTCAGGTCAGTTTGTATGCTGGGGCGGGGAGCTCGCGCTCGTGCAGCGAGACCACTCACCTGGAAACCTGGAAACACCGACTGCCCGAGCTCTGCTTCGAGCTCTGCTGGGCGCGGTGAATGGCAGTGAATGCGGACAAGGCGGCACCGCGTCACGTGCCTCTCTTCGGAGATGGGAGGAGATTGCGACAGGGAGCAGAGGGGGTGAGGTGGGAGGTTCACTCGGGTTGTCCCTTGTGCAGTCCGGGGGTCGCGACACGAGGCAGGGGCAAAGACGGGCGATGGGCACGGAGGCAGAGTCAGACCAGAGGGGGGAAAAATTTAAAAAAACTAGAGAGTGAAAACAAATCCTCAAACCGAGATTAGATCCCGAGCGCTATGGTAAAACAGGGCCAGTGCAGGTGGCGGTGACACCGTCATAGAATAGAAGAGATTACACGAGAGCGAGTATGGTAGCAGGAAGCGCAGCGGAGGGTCGCAGCTGCACGGGCGGCGGTGTTCAGTGAGAGAGCATTTGCACGGGTGCTCGCAATGGCAAACAGCGCGGCGGACAGGGTGCGGCAGTCTTTCGAGCGTGGAGAGGGCAAGCGATGGCGCGTTGGGCTGGCGCTGCTGCAGCGTGTTGTGCACCGCAGCGGGCGGAGGGCGCGAGGGCGCATGACAACGAAACTCAGTTGGGTCGGGGGAGAGCGCGCGCGTGGCGTGGGCATGTCTCAGGCGCCCGCTGCTTCTTTCCCCTGCCTGGCCGCAGGGCCGATCTCTCCCGAGAGTGCTTGCCGCTTTTAGGGGCGCCCACCGGCCGAGTCCTGACGACCAGCGTGTATCGGGCTGGTGACCCTTCCTTTCCTTTTAGGGGGGGTCACCAGCATGGGTACCAGGCGGGGGCGGTACCCGGTGGTATACTCTCTGTAGCAAGGAAGTCTTATGCACGAACGTTCTAAGACTTGAAGGTATCTTCGAGCTCCGACTAAAATTATTGGGGGCATCTCACCGTCACATTACAAGCTCCGAACTAAATTGGGGACCTACCGATAAGCCCCCCGCGTAAGAAAGTAGACTACCCTCCCTCCCTAGGTTGTCTCGGCTTTCTCCGGTGAAGTACTCTTGAAGGGCAATGCAGAAACAACAATTTGCTCCACCGCATGAGATGTCGTTGGAGTCCCGGTGACAAATTTAGTGAGTGTACACTTTTAGACACACCGGTACAAAGAATTGCATCAAGCAGCTGACATTGCCAAAAATTTTGTCTCAATGAATCGACATGGTCCAGGAATTTCTGTCCAGCAAATGGCCGAAAGCGCAGTCTAAGCATCACAATGTTCGACGGCCTCCGTTCTCGTTCGATAGTCCATTACATAAGGCGAACTTCTTCGTACCGGTGTGTTCTTGCTCGACCTCGCAATACAGGACTTTGACTGGGCCTAACCACCCTACCCCTATAAGGAGACCCCAAGTAATCCCCGTCAAAGTGCCCCGAGATCCTCAGGCCTCAACCCTCGCGCACCAGGCGCAACACCGACTCACCTCCGAGCGCCGCCGCCCCTCACTCACATGCGCACTCGCACACGGTGGAGAAACCTCAAAGCTGTGTATCTGTGTATGTGTATAGTACAGTGCGTATCCAAACTGCGAGAGCGAGAACAGATCCGAATAATCGTGCATGCGCGTGCGGGGGCTCCGCGCCAGACCGGAGGGGGAGGTGCAGCTCCGCGTGGGAAAATAGGGGGCAGCGGGGCGGGTACCGGACAGAAAGGGGGGCGGGCGCGGGTACGCGGAAGAGGGGTAAGGGGCGGCGTGCACGGCAGCACAAATAGGAGGAGAACAAGATAGGGGGGTGGTATTACGGCGTGTATGATAGATAGGGTAGTGGTATGCGTCGTGAAGGGGACCGTGGCGCGATGTGGGCGCCGGGGTAGCTGGTCCACAAGAAGGGGAAAACAAGAAGGGGCGTGGCACCGACCGGGCAATACGCGCGGAAGGCAAAGAGCGTCCAATAGGTGAAGCATATACACTCCTGGATATGTGACATTTTGAGAGGACGAAGCACCTGGACAGCACGCTCCGCACGGGCCCTACGACACGCCCCCCATGAGTCCACTCCACACATACAACACCGTCGACGGAGCACTCACCTCGCTAGCAAATAACGCACGAGCAGCAGCTTGCCTCGTCCTCGGACCCGGAGCCAGTACGGACGACGGTATGTCTGCGCTTCTTCTTGGGTGCGTCATCGGCGCCATGGGGCGCATACGCGCGGATGGAGAGGTGGACGATCGTCGCAGGGGGAGGCTGCGAGGTGGGTGACGTCGAGAGGTACGCAGCGTCGGAGGATGGGGGCCAGGTGGGGAAGGACAGTTCTGTGCGAAGGGCAAATATGGTGTTCGTCAGGAGGGAGATGGCCGAGGCGGAGGGGAAGACATACGAGTGAGGGTGTCGTCATCCTGGAGAATTTTTCCGAGGTAGAGAATGCGAAGGAAGGACGGCGCGGGTGGACGCTCGTCCTGCCACTCTGGGAATGGGGTCAGTATGGGGTGCCAGCGAACTCGCGAAGGATGATGAACAGATGTGAAATGGCTGTGGTGCGACGGCGGACGCTCACCATTTGGCCATGCATTCCATGCGAGTTCTTTCACGCGGCCGACAGTTGTCTCCGGATCGAAGGACATGGTGCGTCTGCGGCCGGACACGAGGAGAAAGGTGACGGCGACCTGGGGGTGGGGCGCAGCCTGCTCGTGGTCATGTACCAGGTCGTCGTCGACGCCGAGAGCGTCATCGGTGGCCGAAACGTCGACGCGGGTGTAGGAAGTGCGTGCGGAGGGGCAAAGGGGGGTGAACGAGTCTGGGTGGGGGATGGACAGCAGGACGGGCTCTGAGGGGCTGGTGAAGTGGAACTCTGGAAGGGAATCTTGGATGCTTGGGACAGCGTTGAGGCGCGGCGCACGCCCGTCCGAGGAGTGGGGACGGGAGGACATGGTGGGCGCAGACAAGGACGCAGTGGTTGATGGGCAGGGACTGCTATTAAGCGGAGCTGGTCACGCGGGCAGGAGATGCGAAGGAGACGAAGAAGCGCGCCGGAAGAAGGCTCGGATGGAGGACAGCGTGTGGTGCAAAGTTTAGCGGAGAAATGCGATCACCAGTCGGTAATTTGGGGGTGCAGAGCGTGGTCCGTGCGCACGCTGGTGTCGGGGAATGGTGCTGAAGGGAAGTAGTCGAAGTGCTGAGCTGGCAGACGGGCCTGGCGAGGAAATATACGCGGAGGAGCAGGAGGCGCCCGGAGGCCACATGGCAATTTCATTGCGCGGCTCTGGGCAGCGGATCTAGATCATCCCCGCCCTTTCTCCCCGCCGCCCCGCCCCGGCCTCGCTCTCTCCGTCGCTGCTGACTGGAGTCTGACGCGCGGTTTCTCGCGGTTTCTCGCTCGTTCTGGCAGCTCCTCGTTCTTTCCCCTTCCGGCGTCGTCCTTCCGCGCCAGCATCCGCCTTGGCTTGGCGTGGGCCGCCGCACGATCTGGTAATCCGATCTCCCGACTACCCCGCATTCCTTCTAGCCCTTCTTCGATCCGTGCCTTTCTACCCCTCGCTCCGTCTTCGGCCGCGCCCGACTCCCGGTCCGCCGCGGCCGCCGTTTCCTCGCGTTCTGCTAAGTAGCGACCCGATGCGTACGCGGTACGCTGGTCCATCGCTTGTCTCCTCAACCTGTCGTTTGCCTTGCATTGCCAACTGATCATCTCGTCCATTTCTTCATCACTACCACCCGTCACGTATAAATTCCGCGGCATCGTAGTTTCCCCGCGAAGCGCTCCAGTACGCCATGAACCGCACACCAGACCGCATCCTCGTGCATCAACCTCGATAACCATAGCACTCGTCCACAGGTGCGCCTTTCTGGCAAGTGTACTCTTATGCAGCGCAGATCCGTCCGAGCCATCACGCGTCCCAACTAAAACGCAACGCGTCTCAATCTCAAGGGGCGTCTTCACAGAACGCTGTTTCTCTATCAAACGAGGTATCGCATTCCTTACACCGCTCGCATTCACCCGTGTCCTTCGTGAAATGGAAGCCGAACTCAGGCAGCATGCTTATTTACGTGCCGTCGAACCCACGCTGTTTCTCCGACGCGCGCTCGCTACGTATCCAGTGCGTCTTCCTTGAATGCCCTCATCGATCTCCATTGTGATCCTTCACTTTACCTCGTCTTCTCGATATACAGGATGCTTTCCAGGGTGGGGCATAACCGCTCCGCGTTCTGCTCGAGCGTGCCTTCGCCAGCGCCGCCTTTCAATGCCAAGGTGAGTTGGTGTCCTTCGTCTATAGCACCTGTTATTTCACCTACATTCCAGAGTACTGATGCATCTCTGACACTACTGAATTCCAATTATAGGTTATTGTCGCGCTCGTCTGGGAACAGATTTCGCCATCAAACTCCCTATTTCAGTTCAACAACAAGCGTCAGCTGGTTCTCTAGTTTCAGCGCGTCGCCTTTCACACCCAGGCCATTAAGCACTGCTTTCACTCTCTCTTCCTCACGCCACTCTCCACTGGTCGATGTGTGATATGGAGCGAGGTCCCCACCGCAGCGCTCCCCGCTATAACGCATAGTAAGGTTCCACCCGGATGACGGAGCATGAACAAGCCAGCGCCGCATCACCGACCGTATTTATTCCACTCATCAATTTAGCAGCCGGATCTCTCTTGCCGTCCTCAGCGACGCGCTTGTCCTTCCACACGGACCGCATGATATACAGACGTCTTGACACGGAAGCGCATTCGTCCAGACTCAACTGCGGTCGATCTAATGGTGCGCGTGTATACCGAGACAACGTCCCATCGACGGTGTACAGCTCTTCGCTCATAACGTCTTCGCATAAACAGCAAGACCTCTTTCGCATCCCTCAAAGTTTCCCAATAAGAAGGTGCGGTGCCGTCGATGTCTCAATGCTCATATCTTCCTTTAGATTGTTACGCCTGCTGTTCGAACGGGCCCAGCCAGCGAACAAGAGGTATTTACAACAGCGTGGGTCTCCTCTCGTCTTTTCGTCTCAAAACGTTCCCACATCCGGACGGCATCTCGTGGGTAGCAGCACTCCTGTTAATTTAGCAGAGGTGGAACGAATATAATCTCCGTCGGAGACTATTTCACAGAATGATCATCAAAGTTCGCATGACAGCCGTAAGGTCGAGAACGGCAGACAAGCGACAGGTCGTGAGTTATATGCCGTTATCCACCACCCCCTCACAACGTCGCACGAATGTCCTCTTTGAATATAACTTCATCGCAGGGTTAATACTGTCACTCGTAACACGGAGCCTTTCGTCAATAAGCCACATGTGTGGCGTCGCGCGCGAGATGAAAGTGTCCGATAGTGGTGGCTCACGGCTCTCGTCGTTCTTCTTGCGCTTCAGCGTGGTTGCCGTCCTTGGTCAACGCACCGCAATTTGCAGCACTTCGCTCTCAGTGGCTCGTCTGGCCATACGGGACTGTATCGAGAAAATTAGATGTTTATATGCGTGCGCGTACCGTACGCCGAGAAGTAAGACATGACATCTATATCGCATCCGTACCTGCAGAACAAACTTATCCCATATTGGGGGTAAATCCATAGGTCTACTGGTGACGGTAATGCAGTGAGATATCTCTTCGATCACGGGGTAGGAAGAAGATACGTACGGGTATCCATTTCAAATCAACGTCGCCATCCGCATCGTACCCGTTCTGCTCCTGTGGACTCGAAGGGCTGGACGATCCACGCTCCGGCTCAGCAACTCCATCCAACAATACACAGAGCAAAAATAGGCACTGGTTGTGCTCGACGCGGCCACTGTCTGTTTCGTCCGTACTGGCTTTGCGAAGCGGACCATAGCGGAGTTCCATGAAACTGTTGTTCATGACAATGACAAAAAGGGTGCTTGCATCTTTACTGGACTGCTCCTGGACAACAGCCGTAGAACAACGCTCCGCACTGTCGTTCGCGCTAAGCGCCCAATCGGAAGTCTTGATGTGGCCACGAACAAAGACGAGATCCTTGGCGTCCAATTCCATGCCCATCCCTGAAATCTCGAGCCAGCTTTTCCAGTTTGCCTGAATATACTCCGTCAGTTCTTCGTGTGGAAGGATCTCCTCGCAAACAGCGTCCTTGAAGAAGAGGAAAGCACCCTTCTCGTTTCTCGCGCATTCCACGCGATACGTCCTGCATTACACGTCAGAAACGAAGGTTAACACTATCCAATGTGGTACGCACCCTGGAAGATCTGCTGCACGACTTATTTTTATACTGGGGCTGCACAGGTGGTCTTCGGGGATGGCTCGTTCTTGCCTCCTTAATTTCGATGCGTCGTAGGAGAACGGGATGAAGTCCTTAAGAGTATAGGGTTTGTTCAAAGGGTGGTCCTTGTCCTCGAATGCGTTGAAGAGTCGATAAAACCCACCCTTGGACATAAAGCCCACATCGCCAATGTGGACGTCCGACGGTGGATGCCACAGAGGATAGCCATAACCCAACTTGAGGACTTCGTCCGTATAGATGTCCCAAGAGGTTCTTATCAAGGACATCGGGGAGACGCTTCTGGAGGACATGGTAGATGCAGTTCAAGGTGTATTCAATGGAGAAACCTACAGCGTGCCGAATTTATCTGAGCGCCACTTAGGCCAAAGCGATGCCACTCACGTGAGCGTTTGACGAATGCCAGTGGCTGAGAATTCCAAGCAGCGTTGAATGTGTCGCTTAAGCACTTACATAAGTACTCTCAGGGATGATCACCGCTGAGACCCGTTTCATGAGGTCACATTATGGGTATCTGGTTTGTTAGAAATCGCGCCTTAGTTCCCAAATAGGAAGGTAGTGATGGCGGGTCAAGATGCGTCGGGGCGCGTGATTGCGCGTCCTAAAATAGATTTCTGTATATATACAGTTCTAGACGCTCCACTTTATATAAGCAAATTTCCTTTGTCTTTCTTTGTAATCATGCCCTCGGCTTGTCTGCCCTTGGGCGCTCCCCAATTTCTGGAGCTCCAGAAATTTGGGCGCTACTTTCCAACACTCAGCTTCTCATGCCTCGGCTTAGGGAGTGACTTTGTTAGGATATCCGCTATCATGTCCTCCGTGGGACAGTAATGGATATCAATATATTTATCCCTCAATTTCTCGCACACATAATGATGCTTTACATCAAAATTTTTTGATTTCGCGTGGAATTGGGGATCACGTGCAATTGAGATTGCCGCCGTATTATCCTCGAATAAAATTGTAGGATCTTGTTGCTCGAAACCTATTTCTTTGAATAGTGTTCGGAGCCACACAGCTTCTTTTGCCGCTTTGGCAGATGCCCTGTATTCAGCTTCCGTGGTGGATGACGTGACCGTGGTTTGCTTCTTTGAGCTCCACGTGATCGTGCCATTTCCTAATTTAAATAAATATCCCGAGATTGATTTGCGATCTCGGATATTGTTCGCATAGTCTGCATCTGAGTAGCCCATGAATTTGGCTTGATCTTCGGGCTTGACATCTGCAATTGGCCCGTAGATTATTCCAAGTTCTCGTGTTCCAGATAGATAGCGGAGGACGCGTTTGGCAGCAGTCCAATGAGCCATTCCGGGATTGGCAGTAAATGAGCTAAGCCGTTGCACGGTGTGAGCAATGTCTGGTCTCGTGGCAATTGCTGCGTACATCAGTGATCCAACGAGCGATGCATATCCGTTGTCTCGGTCACATTCATCATCAGTTTCGGGTTCTTCTTTTTCAAGCACTGTATTTGGATCAAGAGGCATCCCGATCATGTTGGCATTCGTAAGCCCATTCTTGTGTAGGATAGACTCAATATATTTTGTCTGAGAGATTTTGATTGTCCGCTTTGAATGGTCTCTCTCAATTTCTATCCCCACAATTTTCCGGGGTTCGCCAAGGTCGGTAACTTTAAACATATTTTGGAGTTCGCTCTTCAATTGGTCCATTAGTGCGCAATCATTGGTGAATATTAATAGGTCGTCTACCCAAACGGTGACAATTTCTATCTTATCACCTTTGATCTGAATGTACGCACATGGATCCGAGAATAGGTGCTTGAATCCCGCGTCTAGTAACTTGCGGTTCAGCACGATATTCCATTCTCGGCCAGACTGCTTTAGCCCGTAGAGGGTTTTCTTTAATTTACATACGCGATATGTTCCATCGCTGTATCCTTCAGGTTGCCGCATGTACACTTCTTCTTTGAGAGTTCCGTTAAGATAGGCGCCTTTCACGTCCATCTGTCCGATCTCCCAATCTAAGATTGCGGCTAGCCTAAGGATAGCTCGAATGGTTTCAAGGCGGACTACGGGCGCAAACGTCTCGGTATAGTCCATGCCTGGGATTTGAGAATATCCCTTCGCAACCAGGCGGGCTTTGTATTTAATTATTTCACCCTCTTTGTTTGTTTTCTTGACTAGAACCCATTTATTTCCTACGGGTTTTTCGGGAGGTTCCACTAACTCCCAAGTCTCCATACCCTGTAGTTGATTGAGTTCCGTCTGGACTGCCTGTTCCCATTTGGGCCACTCGAGTGATCTCTTGGCATCACTGAGCATCTTTGGCTCATCCGCGTCCGCATTTCTGTGGGCACTCATCGCAATATAGACTAATTCGGCATTTGATTTATCTGGATCATTATCCAGATCTTCGTCTGCCTCTGGGTCGTGCATTAGACGGTAATCATGCTGAACTGTCTTTCTTCTGGTTCATCTGGGCTGGCTTGGTGCGTCCATCCTGCTTTCCTCACGTTGATCAGGATCATCATCTTGTCTGCACTTTCGCGGATTTTTGGCAGGTGACTGTGGCGCGAAAGTTCCTAACTCCCCCTCGCGCTGCACGTCTGCGGTCGTTGTGAGGTTTGGGACTTTGGGTCTCCTTTCCGCATGTGGCACGTCTGACGCATTGCTAGATAAAGTGCCCGGAAATATATTTTGCTCCCCCTCACGCTGTGCTGTGAGGATAGGTACGTCGGATCCTATTTGCTCTTGTGGCACGTGAGGCGTGTTGCCGGGCAAATGGTCCGGGGAATTCGAAGAAAATTGGAAATTACGCGAGATTTTAATCTGGCGCGTGTGCGCATCATAATATTTGATGGCTTTGTGTCCATCCATGTATTCAACAAAAATATACTTGTTGGCACGGGGCGCTAGCTTTGATAGTGTTGCGTCCTCCGTGAGGACCCATATGGGGGAACCGAATTCTTGTAGGTACGAGATATTTGGTTTCATCCCATTCCATTTTTCTTCGGGAGTTGCCCCATTTAACGCCTGGGTAGGCGATCTATTTTTAATGTAGACTGCGTGAGCAATCGCTTCAGCCCAAAGATAACGAGGTAGATCTCTCGCATAGATCATTGCGCGCGCTAGTCCAAGCAGTGTGCGATTCAATCTCTCAGAGACTCCGTTCTGGGATGGTGAATACGGCGCAGTCGGACCCATCTCGATCCCTTTCATTTGACACCAGTTAATTAATTCGGTGTTCATATATTCTCGACCGTTGTCAAGCCTGAGTCGCAAGGGTTTATTTCTAAACTTGCGCTCGATATAGTAATATAATTCTTTACCTTTTCAGTTACTTCATCTTTATGCCTCATAAATAGTACTGTACTTCGACAACTGTAATCATCAATAAATGTAATAAAATATTTCCAGCCTTGTAGAGCGGCTGTCTGCGCAGGTCCCCACACATCCGTGTGTGTTAATTCTTCGGGTACCTTGCTGCATTCATCCGTCTCTTTGGGAAATGGCTTCCGCGTTGCCTTTGCTTGGATGCACACCTTGCAATTAATTTCATCTGGGCTTGGCAAGATTTTTAGACCATCTACAAGCCCTTCGCGATATAATCGCATAAGCACTGGTTTCCCGATATGGCCATAAATCTTGTGCCACTCTTCCCAGGTATGCGGGCCGTATTCCTTAGCAGTATAGGTTCGCGCAGGTTGCGGAACTATTGGACGCAATTTCAATGAATATAGTCGTCCATTTTTCTTGCCTATAGCAAGGGTGTGTTTATTTTTATCTATTAGTATTGTGCGACTATTTCCCATAAGTACTCTTCCTCCCGCATCATCTAAATGTGTAATGGAGAGGAGGCTATTGGGTGCTGTCAGCGCATACAGTACACCGTGGAGACAGAATTTCACTTTCCGGTCTCCTACTTCACTTTCGACATTGACCGTACCGCGGCCCAATGCCTGCATTGGTTGCAGTCCGATGCCCGTGATCGCATGATCTTCGAGCGCCTGATAGGTCGTGAAGACTTCACGACGATTTGTAATGTGCGAAGTTGTCTCAGAGTCAGCAAATCACTCATAGAAAGAAGCGATTTTACCATCAGATCTGAGAGATACAGTGTCACTATCATTATCATAGACTATTTTTGCCTCATCCTCTTTCAGTTTGACTTCGCGTGCTTCGTAAGCACATTCCGTCTTTTGCCGCTTCATCGGCGGGCCCTGTCCGACTTTGCCGCCGCCTTTGGCCCAACAATCCGTGGCCTTATGCCCGAATTTTCCACAATTCATACATTTGACCTTGTCGTGGTGCTGACACTCATTACCAAGATGTCCCGGCTTTCCGCAGATCGAATGTTACAACGCTCCTCACTTTTGTGGCGCGTCTTTTCTTTTTCTTTTCTTTGTTCCCTTTACGTTACCAGACCACGTGATCCAACACGTGACTCATCGGAGTGCAACCTCCGATTCTTTATCCAGATGTCCAGAACTCCTAGTCTAGGGTTACACCGGATCCAACTCCGGACCTTCTTCTTATCACACATGCAAGACGTGCATGTATGCCTCATCTTTACCTCGTTCTGATACACGACTCGTTATCCCCATTAGTACTGATTATCTCTCACGACCTTACTCAGCTTTCTCATACATATTACTTCCTCACTGTTACCTTGCCCAGATATCGTTTCACCTTATCTAGCCAATGAACGATCTCGCATTACTGCGTAGTACTGCGGATACCTTTTGTATAAGTAGACGACCTTGTCGAGCTGGATCCCCATCTCGACCTGGTTACCATTAAACCAGCTTTTCACTTGCCTTTGACTGAGATCGACCGTCAGTAGCAGACAGCTACTACGAGTCATAAGAACAAACTCTGATCGACCTTCAGTGCGAGGACATCGCCAGAAGTGTCACTTGAATGGACTTGTGTCTTAGACTAAGACCTTGTCTCGTGAAGACTCGACTAGACGCTCGTGTTTCGCTGCCGCGTAACATTAGGTCGAGATCTTATTACTCTCTGTGACTTCCTAGAGTCTAACAACGAACTACCGACCGGACCGAACCTTGAAGACTGAACGATACACCCGATTCGATTGCTAAAGCGCCGTTTGAGATTACTCTGTAATCGAGGTAGCTGAAGGGATAGACTGATCACTCATCTTCGGAGAGGGGTCTATCCGAGAGACCAATAGGCCGAGGAGGCTGAGGTAATCACTCGAGCAATCAGCAAATAGGTGTATCAGTTTGAAGACAGAAGACACTCTACGGGCTTGTTAGCCGACGACGAACGAACCCACTTAGTTAAGGACGGTGTGCAGTCTACGTGTAGACATA